GGGCAGCTAACAAACAAAGAGGATTCTTCTTATGCGTAGTAAGCCCAACAGCTTCAACAATATCAATATCATCCCTTGTCATCTCCTTAGGCAAACTCCAATCCAAACAATACAATAGATTAGCAAGTGCAAGCTCAATCAACAAAACCGCGAAACCAAGCCCAGGGCAGCCCCTCCGACCAACACCAAACGGGATCAACTCGAAATCTTGGCCTTTATATTCAATCGAGCTATTCAAAAACCTCTCAGGCTTGAACACATTTGGATTAGGTGTGTGCCACACGTTAGGGTCCATTGCAATTGCCTTTGCATTGATAAATACTCTTGTTTTTGCTGGTATTTCATACCCTCCTATAATAGTGCATGGTGCTGTTGTTAGCCTAGGGACTAGTAGTGGTACTGGTGGGTGTAACCTTAATGTCTCTTTTATGACCATTTTTAAATATTTTAGTTTAGGTAGATCATTTTCTTCAACTCTTTTTTTGCCCTTGGCAACTTCTTTTACCTCATCTTGGGCTTTTTTCATGGTCGATGGATTCTTCATTAGCTCGGTCATTATCCATACAAGTGTTGCCGCAGATGTATCTGACCCTGCTATGAACATGTCCTGCATTTCAATTTCGAAAATTATAAACAACTAATTTATATTACTAGCTACATTAGTTTCTTATTACTTGTAACAAGGAGTTATTATGTGTAGGAAAAAAAATTCATTTGTTGCAAATAATAGAAATTGGAGGTAGTATATAAGTCAATTGCTAAGGAGTTTCGTGCACATGTTCACATAAAAAACTTAACATATTATATATGAGCAGAGTTGTTGGATAACCTGATAATATAAATTGTATGTAAACATGTTTTGATTAAATCAACTGTATAATTTGACAATTTTGGGCAAAATTACGTACAAAATGTTAATGAGATGATGTTTACTAAACGCAATTTCTCAATGCTAGTTGCTCTAGTGTTTATTTATTTATTTCTATTCTCGGTTTAGAGGCAAAGTTGCACTTGCACTACTTTATCGGTCAACTTTCATGTTAGGCGGCGAGACCAAACTTGCAATAGATTAGCCAAACTACTTTTTATGTTATTTTATTAAGTAAACTATTGTTGAATCTTCAAGTGTATCAATTTATACTCATGATACGGAGTGTTTTTTTTTTTTTTTTTTTTCACAAAAGTACTCATGATAATTAACGGACGACTAACTACATATGAATTTATTAAAAAAAAAAAAGGAACTACATATGAATGGTTCCACATTAGAAAAAAGGAGAGAAAATATCATTTTACAAGTTGGAGGAGTTAGTTTTGTTGTCATTAATTAGCTTTAATATGAAATCTTCTATGAGCTTGTAAGTGGACTAAATATATATTACCATTAGATAATTAAAGTAAAAAGCTAAACTCTTTTTAAATTAGAGGTTTAATTAAAGTCTTTACTAAATATTTAAAAAAAAAAAAAAAAAAGCTAATAAAAGTATAAAATTAAACCAAAATCAATATGCATAAATAGATTACGGAGTACTAGCTAATAAGTAACGTACCGTAATAATACCCTTGATTTGAATATCACTGAGTTTGACTGTTTGATTTGGATCTTTTTAAAGTTGAAGAAGTACATCTACAAAATCTTCATGATGTTCACCTTCTCTACGCGTCGTTATACTTCCAATATGTTCTTGGATAACTTCATCATAAAACTCATCCAACTCCTTAAAATTCTTCTCTAGTCTAGTATCAACCCCATTTACTTTATTTAGAAACCAACCAAACCAAGGATAAAAATCCGCTACATTAAGCTCTCCTAATAATCTTTGTGTTTCCTTCAATATCTCATAATTTTTAGCCTCACCGTCGAATTTCTTACCATATGCTACGCGACATATGACATTATTCGCAAGAGATAGCATCAACTCGCTAAGATTAATTGTTGTATTACTCGATGAGGATCGAGTAATTGTATTAATCACGATGTTAACCTCCTCATTTCTTACGGTGCTAAACGAGTTCACCCGTTTAGCACTAAGTAGCTCTAGGATGGCTATCTTCCGAACTTCTCTCCAATACTCACCATACGGAGCAAATGAGATGTCATTAAATTCGTAACTTAGTCTTTTCGCGGAGTATAACTCTGGCCTACCGGAGAAAATTAGATCGTGTGGCTTGAAGATTTCTCTAGCTACATTCGCGGAGGAAATTACTAGAGTTGGGATTGAGCCTAATTGTAGGAGCATGAGAGGGCCATGTTCTTTGGCAAGCTTGTGAAGAGAAGAATGAGGTAAATCACCAAATAATTGGTGAAGGTTCCCTAAAATTGGTAACTTTCTTGGGCTTGGAGGGTTCTTTTTTTGTTGGTGCATTCTTTTTTGGGGTTTATACAACGATATTAACAATATTATGGGTATGGTAAATATGAGTGCATACCAAAACAGTAGCCTAAATCCATGTTTTCTATCAATGTTAGCAATATAATATAGTAGATGGATTTATATAACCCTTTAAAGCTAAGGTAGGTCTATATATATATGCATGTGCAAATTTCTGACTAGGGATGTATGTATATAAAATTGTATCTAACGGGAGGAATTAACAAAATTGAATACGTATTCGTCTGTGTACAATTTTATTTTGTACGCGTTAGGATGGTATGATGTAGCTAGCAAAATAAACTTAAAATTGAATATGTGATGAGTACAGTTATAAATTTGCCATGGAGGTAACTCACCAATTTATAATCTATCATTTACTTCAAAATTGTTTTTAATTTAACAAATATGATGAGAAATTTACGCACATATATCATGATGCAATTATAGATATTCTGTATTTTACTGTATGTAGGGACTTTTTAAATAAAAAAAACAAAAAAATTAAAATTTGAAAAAATAATAATCTATCTAGTAATCATCTTCTACAAATTGTGAGGTTAATAGGGTGGTGGCCTGGTATATGGTAGAATAGTGTCATCGCTTTTCACCTAATGAAATGTATTTTCGAACACAACTTGACAAGCCGGTTGACAACTTGAAGTTGGCACATATGAAAATAATGGCGTGTAAAGTCAAAGATAACTTGTGAGCAGGGAAGAAAAGCCGCAAAAAAACGTTGAAGCTTGAAGTTATTGGAAATTTCCGCTGCCTGCTTTATTTTGGTTTGAGCTCTTTATGTATTTGTATCCATTACTCTGTATTTTTATTTACGTACTCCTCAGGGACGTTAGATACTAATGTATATATGGCTTAAAATAATATTAAGTTATGAATGCATGATAAAATCACGCGTCGTTTGGTTTAATTAGTATTATTTCTATTCTACTAATATTTCTCTTATCTAACGTCCCAAAAACGGTCGTTAACTTTTGCCATATTAAAATACTATATATCCATGCAATCATGCATCCTACTGTCCTACATGTCATAGATAAATAAATTCCTTATCGTTTCGAAAATCGTGAACGAACTTTGGAAGTATTGAACATGCAACCATTGAACCATGCAAGTATGCTACCAATTTATTGTTTGAAGGTGATAGTTTATCTATTCATTTCAAAAAAAGATGTATAAATTGAAATTGTGAGGAATTTTAAGAAAATTTATTTGTATTATACTCCGTATGGAATAGTGGAATACCAAAATAAATGCATTACTTGGGATATTGCAAGTGGAACAAACAAGTGATTTAGTTGAGTATATTTTTTCTGTTTTTTATTAATTATTTTTTTGGTGCATCTAACTAACCAATTACAATTGAAGACTAGCTTAATGTTATATTTGAAAGCTAACTAAAGGTGTGTTTACTTTACCTGATTAAACCTAAACTTATTTGGAATTATCCAAACTTATTGGACCTGATTAGAACTTATTAAACTAGATTGAATTTATTAAATCTGATTAAATTTGTTGAAACTTATTACGAAGTACACCTGATTGAACTTATAAAAACTTATTGAAACTTATTATGGAGTACACCTGATTGAACTTATAAAAACTTATTGAAACTTATTGTTATTGATCAAGTTAATTCTAATATTTTATTGTATATTGATGTATTGAGTATATTAATTTTTTTTTATCAACCTAATTAGTGTTTTAAGAAACTACTTTAATTTGATCATCAAGTTGAATCACCGAACTCATATTTAATGTTTAAATTAGACAAACTAAATCTTGTAGGCTCCTTGAATAATTCAATTACAAACTATTTAATGTTTAGACAAACTTAATCAAAATTGTACAAAAATTATTGTTGTAAAAAAAATGTATAGAATAATTTATAGGAATTAAGGCCTTATTTACTTCACCTTAAAATATAATATTCAGTAAAAAAAAATTCAGTTCAGTAAAAATCAATAATAACTTTAAAGAGAAATTATAATAAAGAATCAATAAAAATAATTATAATTCAGCAAAAATAATTTCAGTTTAATATAAATAATTTCAGTTCAATAAAAATAATTTAAATTCAGCAAAAATAATTTCAGTTCAATAAATATAATTTTAGTTCAGCAAAAAAAAGGATGAAGTGAATAGGGCCTAAATATTGTATTACCTTTTTCCCCAATCTATTCCATGCACTCTATCACTAATCTTTGCCCAAATTTAATTTTGTGATTTGCCTGTTAGTATCACCCCCTTAAGAGATATGGGTGGACCCGTGCTTTAAATGTGCCACTATTTGTTTTTCCTTCGATTGTTGATCAAACAAGGTATGAGAGTTCTTTTTAAAATTCGTGAGCAACTCAGCTCCTACTTTAAAACAGTTATCTAATACTAAATCATAACCATCTAAGCCCTTTTTTGAAAGAAAAGAAAATAGAATAACAATTTTACCAAAAATTATAAAACATTCTACATTTCTACGCCCAAGTTATATTATTTTATTTGAACTAATTTTCAACTTCATAATATGACAGGTGACTTGAATAGAAACCTATATCCGATGATTTTGATTCTGATCTTCATTTCCAAGAATTAGTTACCAAAAGGTCCAGTAACAAGTTCTAGTTTCGATTTCAAGAATTTTGACATGGTATCTCATATGGTTCACTCGATCACCCCAACTAATAGAAGTATAGAACGCAAGTCATTATGGATAAAAACTTTCTCGCCAATCCTGCCCGATACGGCTTGGGCTTTATAGCCTTCAATAATCAACACTAGCTCGAAAAGCCTGCCTCTTTTGACCCGCCCCAACCATCTAGATGATCCCCTCAAAAATTCGCTCCAAATTCTGGTAATTGCAAATTCCTCTACAAGATAATTCAATTAACAATGGAAGCCCTTGGAGTTCTTCCTCTTTGCTCTCCCAAAATCTCACCCTCAAATTTTGACAAAAGATGCAGCACAAAGTTTTCTAGAACTGTACAAACGTTCAAGTTCAGTGGCCCTAGTTCTGGGCAACTCATCCCAGTTCGCAAAACTATGGTATGTTAAAAACTTGTAAAAATTCCAGTCAAATTCTATTCATATTCATGGGTTTTCCTTTTTATTTCGATTTGTATAAAATTTCTGAAATGGGTGTTTGATTTTTCTCATTTTTTGATAGAATTGGAAAGTAACCAGAATGCAAGTAGTGGGAGAAGAGTATGAATTGAGGCAAATGAAGGATATGGCGGCTGCAAGAAAAAGATGGGGAAGCTTTGGTATAATTCTCTTTTACTCATTCTTGTAAATTAATGCTACTTTATTTCATTTTCTGTTTAAAATTTGAGTTTCTTTACTTAATTGTATGTAATTTAGGGTAGAACTTGTTCTAAATAGGATAGCCATGAGTAATTTAGGGTCTTTGTAATGAAAAGATTAGAATATTACTAATTTCTTGTAGAAATCTATGCTATATGGTTGAAATTGTGGATTCGGAAATGGTAGGACAATATCCAATTATGTTGTAGATAATAGGATTAATTTGGACATTTGTTACATCTAGTTGCGGCTGAACTGGGTAATTGTTGCCATTATATTGTTGTAAACTTCAAATAAGGAAAATGAACAAAGGAAATGGCTACTCATTTTTATAGGATTTTGATATCATAGTTTAAAGGCGGTGAAGTGTATTTCTAATCTCTACTAGTGACTAAGCTTTAAGGCTACAAATTGCAATTTCAACTGTATTTTTGGGATTTTTAGTTGTAGCTTTGTGGTAATCTGGTAGATTGTGTATGGTTGAATTGAGACTACCTCATAGTGCTGTTGATAGAGCTGGCAATTCGGGTAAACGGGTCGGGTTAGTATGGGTCGGGTAAATTCGGGTTAATGTCGTAACCTATGCGGGCCGGGTTTGGGTTGGGTCATGCTTGAGTCAGGTCACATCGGGTCATACATCTTATCGGGTTTGGATCGGGTTTAGTTCGGGTCAATAACAGGTCGGGTTACATTCGGTTCGGGTGAATAAAAGGTCGGGTTTAATTCGGGTTTTAACGGGTTAAAACGAGTTAGGGTCATTCTCGGATTCGAGTCGGGTTCGATTCTAGTCAATAATTTGCAAGTTATAATCAAGTCGGGTCATTTTCATGTCGGGTCATGTTTGGGTTCGGGTCTCAAATATTGGGTAATCTGGGTCTCGGGTTGATTTCAGGTCGGGTCACATCGACTTTGGGTACATTTTTCGGGTCGGTTTGTTGACAGTTATGTATTGACGTTCACATTGAATCATTATCAATTTCTTCATTTATTATAAGAGAAATAATTTCACATAAGTTCATATTCGAGCTAATAAATTTAAACTATATTTTTTTCACTTATTTTAGAATAAATAATTTCATATAAGTTCAAATTCGAACTAAGACCATTGCCCGCAGTGAGGAGAAAAAAAACCTCTCAATCTCTCTCTACCCACTTTCTCACTCTTCCCATCCAATTCCTATCATGAGAGGTTTTTTTACTACACCAATGCTTAAAAAAAAAAACTCCTCATCACTCTTTCCTCCACTATTTTCTATACCCCACCATAATACACATCACTTGTGAGAGAAATGGGAAGCTCAGAAAAATCAGAAATTTGTGGGCCCACCTCATTACTATTCCTTTGTGTTTCCCCTCACCATGTGAGAGAAATGAGAAGCTCTCATGCGTGCTTTTTTTTTCCTCTCACTAATGGGGAGCTTGAGGAGTTATTTTATACCTCTATTTTCACTCGTGAGGGGTTTTTCCCTCACTGGTGGGGGAGTGCTCTAATGAGTTCATATAAATTTAAGATAAGATATAATAAGTTCATATTAATTCCGTTAAGATAGGTTTATTTAAGAATTTTGGAAGATAAGTTCAGGCCTTCTGCTATTTTTCATTGGTTCCACTCATTTCAGGAAACAATTTCAGATTAGTTTATATTCGAGTTAATAAGTTCAAATAAGTTTAGATAAAATATATATAATAAGTTCATATTAATTCCATTTAGACAGGTTTAGTTTAGATTTTTAGAAGATAAGTTCAAACCCTATTATGATCTATTCACATTGTTTCCACTCATTTTAGGGATAACAATTTCAGATAAGTTTATATTTGAGATGACATGTTCAAATAAGTTTAGATAAAATACAATAAGTTCATATAAATTCGGATAAAATAGGTTTAGTTTAGATTTGTCAATCTGAGTGTTTGGGTCGAGTTAGCTCGGTTTGGGTCAATTTGAGTTAATTGCATTACTATTCGGGTCGGGTTACATTAGGTTTGGGTCGGGTTAGAAACAGATCGGGTTGAATTCGAGTTGGATTAGTAACAGATCGGGTTGAATCCAGGCTGGGTTAGTAACAAGTCGGGTTGATTTCGGGTTTCAACGAGTCAAAACGGGTTTGGGTCTATCTCATATTCAGGTCGAGTTCAGTTCAGGTCAATAATTGACGGGTTATGTTCGGGTCGGGTCATCTCAGGTCGGGTCATGTTCGGGCTGATTTTAGGTCGGGTCATATCGGGTTCATGGCACCAATTTCTCGGTTTCAAAGAGGTTAGGTCATGATCGGGTTCGGATAAAATTTTCGGGTCGGGTTAACTTTTGACAGCTCTAGTTGTTGATATGGAGGCCACCTTTTGTTTTAACTTGTGGTAATTGTCTCTGTAAGCACAAAATTTCTTGTCATGGTTGTGGAAAAAAAATTCTTGTTGTGGTGAGAATTTCATATTTTGTGCCTCAGGCTTTCAAACTCTTTTGCATAGGTGAGGGAGGGAAAAGTCAAACCTTTGACACCCAGGGAGGCTGGGTATGCAATCCAACTCACCAGCAAAACTCTACTTGATGTTCGCCCAGCATCAGAGCGCAACAAGGTGAATACTTGATCTACACCCATCTGCTTTGCTTGAGAATACACGTATGCTTTTCCTACTTTTTTGCTATTATTGAAGTTACGCCATCATAGAATATGGCTTCATTAACTCTGCTTTTGAATATCTGAATTTTGGTTATTAAGCATCAGTGGTAATTGAATTATCTGTTCTTGTTTGTGTAGACCTTGTGCATTAAGCTATGGTTTTAAAGAACAAAACATATGGGATGTGGCTACATACATTTTCTGCTCTTTTTTGCTCTGTATAATTGTTTTTAGAGGTTATCAAAACTTTGAGCTTGACACTCCTTGATCACTTTTTGTTGTGTCTGTTTCTCTGTCAATTCCATTCCTTGTTAATGCTTTTATATAGCCTTAAACTCATCTTCTGACAAAGGCAGCAATTTTCTTATGTTAGTTATGATCCTATATCATCTTCTGGCCTTCAATCCATAATAATAGAACATGTATTTTGGTGTTGCAGGCATGGGTTAAGGGCTCAGCCTGGATACCCGTATTTGACGTTGATGACAAATTTGATGTTGGGACACTCTCAAAAAAGGCAACAAATTTCATGATGGGTACTTCTTGATGCCTGTCATACTTTCCTTTCTTGCTATAAAGTTTTGTTATAAAGACAGTTTTGGTACATCAATACATCAAATAAACAATTGTATAACCCATCCAATTGTTACTCAGAATAAGGTTAGCAATACCTTTCTGTGCACTATTAAATTGGATGACAGAAATAACTCGTATTAAGGATCTTGATAAGCTCCTTTATATCTCAGAATCTTTTTGAATTTATGTAGGAGGATGGTGGAGTGGTGTGCCTACACTTTCCTATAATAGGTATGTTGCTAACCACCATCAATTCAACTTCAAACCTAGTTACTCTTTCCTATATGAAGAGAAAGTCTCTCTTATCATATTTTTCCTGCAGCCAGTTCTTATCCAAAGTTGAGGAAAAATTCCCAAAAGATACAGATCTTATTGTTGCATGCCAGAAGGGACTAAGGTGATCTTCTTAGCATCACCTTCTTATAAATCTAAGACTAAACAAGCCTACAAATTCATTGTGCGAAGTTTCCTTTTGGCTACGACTGTTTTCTAGTACTATGATACTAATAGTATATGTGCAATCCTCTGGATGAGATAAAGTTCGCTTGCTAAGTTTTTTGAAAATGGACCGCCTTCCTTCTATTAGTAGTATGATATCATCATCATTACTGTTTCATCATCAAATTCACCATTACTGTGAGTTGTCTGCATCATCTACAACTTTTTGCGATTCCTCTTGACGAATTCGAAAAGAACTGTGTAGTACTCCCTCCGTTTTTAAATACTTGCTCCATTTCTCCATGCGCGAAGTTTTAGGAGAAATTGGAAAAAAGTAATAAAATATGGAGGTAGTGGGATAGGTGGAAGAAAATAAAAATTGTAAAAAACAAAAGTAGTTGAGAGAATTGGAGGAGAGAGAATATGAAATTAATAAAATATGATTTATGTTGGGTCCACTAGTTGAGAGAAATGAATTAAATATTGTAAAAGCTTTCCAAATAAGGAAATGGAGCAAGTATTTAAAAACGGCCGGAAATGGAAAGTGGAGCAAGTATTTAAAAACGGAGGGAGTATGTTTTAAGGCACTTGAAGGGTTCAATATTTTAGGAAAAGTAGGTCTGCTCTGAGCCTATGAAGCAACTGAACTGCATGAATTCTGTGGTCAATGTCAATGATATTTTTTGCACATTTATCTATGTGATCCATGGGAATTGGAAAAAGAATGATATGATATGTGATAGGTAATAGATGTGGAAGAGCAACTAGATTATTTGCAAAATACATGTAACAAAATTGTAAGTAAGGTCAATTTGTGGAATGATTAAATCTTGTTGTTCCTCCTCAACATGCATACGATAAGATGTCCTATCATCCTGAAATGCACATTAGCTAATGAAATACAATCCTTTGAACACTTTGGTGGGGTTTTATCCTGATGTTAGAATGATGTCCAAATGTGTATATTTCATTTTGTACGAAGTATATGCTAACACCCTGAGCACATTTGGCTGGCAGATCTTTAGCTGCTTGTGAGCTTCTTTGTAATGCTGGCTACCAAAATGTCTTCTGGATTCAAGGAGGCCTAGAAGCAGCAGAAGAAGAGGTATTTTATTTAATATATATTTTCCAAATGATTAGTTTTCTTGTGTGTTCTTTTATTGGAGGGAACTTAAGGCTCAATGGTACACTGTGCAGGATCTTCAGAGGGAAGGTTCACAGCCTTTTAAATTTGCTGGAATTGGAGGCCTTTCTGAGTTTCTCGGGTTAGTAGTTTGCGCAATAGAATTATTGTCACCTGGTTATGTGAATCTGGCTAACCCACCACAGGGTTCTGAAAAATATTGTTTCTTACTCCAACATCTTCTTGCACTCAATTTAAACGGGTGTTCCTTTCAGTTGGACGGATCAGCAAAGAGCTGCTGCAGCTAAAGAAGGATGGCAGTATCGATTAGTTTTCTCTGCACGTATGGTATGATAGCAGGCAGCAACTGCTGATCAATATGTATATGTCTCTTTTGGATGTATAGCTTATGGACTGAATTATTTTGTAGGTCGGACTGTTTCTTGCTGCAGATGCATTGTACATTGCTGCTCAGCAAGTGGGTCGTTATCTACAAGAAATACGATCGTAGTTAATGTTTTTCTGCCATTGCAAAGTTGAAGTCATTCACTCCTTGCATGTAGGAACTTGTTTTGGTTTGTATATATGTATGAACTTGCCAAATCCATCTTCTCTTAGTGTAAACGAGTTTCATTTGTTCACTAAATTTTTGTAGCGTGAGGGCAATAATCTATGAAATTTCGATGAAGATCCTCGTGAATGTTGTATGAAATCTTATATATATTATATTTCATAGTTTAATACCTTCTTTTTACTTTTGGATTCTGTTATTCACAGTCCTAAGAAATATTGGGTAGCGGGCATTGAAATGTCTGAAATAGTGAAATACAGAACAATGCAGAATCAGCAAATTTAGAATGTATAAAAAGTGTTGGCAGTTTTGGCACACTTCCTACTATTTTAGGATGAAAATTTAAGCAGCTTATTTATTACAAGTACGAAGTATTACTATTTCTTTTTTAGTATCGAATTATTAGGGCATATGCTCAAACCAAACTCACTCCCTATTTGAGGGACACTCCAAATTCGGGGGTCAAAGAGTTTAAAAACCAAAATATAACTAAATACTCCAGTGTAAAACATTATTCATGAAATTGGGGATTTTTTTTTTTTTTTTTTTTTTTTTTTTGGGGAAATTGGGGAGGTTCTTGAGGTTTGATGTTTTTAACTAGACTTTTTGCATACCGAGTTGGAATCTTGCACCAAGTAATTTAGCCTTGAAAAATAATCCAAAGTCAAAATTTATGCCTATCCTACACCAACATCAACACTGTTAATTATACCAATATGGAGTACGAGTACATTTTATGTAAAATTACTTTGAGGTCGTGGGATTCCTTACTCTTAACATTCAAGAGGTTTGTTTAAATTTTGTTTAAAAAAAAATAAAAATAAAAATAAAAAAATAATGGAATTTGTAAAATTGAAATTTTGTTTAAATTTTGGAAGGTGTTAGAATTCAGCTCATAACCGCCATTTTCCCGCGAGAGCAAAGACTCAACTAACCCAGCAAATCACCTCACTTTCTCACCATATTTTCCGATCAAATTCCGGCGAAACACCCTATAATGTTCGCAATTCGAATTCATTCAGTAGACACAGAACACCCCCTTTTTCTCTCTCTTCCTTCAAACTCAAACCCTAGCCATAATCTTAACCCTAACCCTAAATTCGTCGAGCGCAGAGGTATAATTCATCTCTTCCGAGCCCTAATCCGCCATCCTTCAACTTCCGATTCATCTGCATCAACTTCCAGATCTACTCTCCTCTTTATTGTAGCTGTTCCCAATTATTTCTCCTCTGATGATTTGCTTCGATTTTTCGGGTCCCATGTTGCCGATATATCCGAATTTATCATCATTAGGTAAATCTTTTTTCTGGGTTTTGTTCATTTTGAGTTTAATTTTTGTGGGTTTTGAGTGATTTTGTATTTGGTTGATTTTGATTTTTTTTGGTTTTTGTTTGGGTGATAGAAATGATGGTATGGAGGATAGGTACAGTGTGTTGATTCGAACTTGGAATCAGGTTACAGCTGATGCGTTTTATCGTAGTTTCAATGGAAAGCGATTTTCGCCTCCTGAGGTTAGCATTTGTTGATTGATTGAGATAGTTGTGAATTGGTATTTACTGATGCAGTTGTGTTTTGTGATTAGGTTGAGATATGCCACATTTTATTTGTTCTTTCAATGGAGTTTACTGAATTGGGAGAAATCGCCAGCACATCGCCTTCTGATTATGTTGAGCTGCCTACTTGCCCCATTTGTCTAGGTTGATTCTGCATTGAGTTGTGGAGTAATATCTGTAATTGTTGATTGATAATGTGTGTTGATTTAGTTTCTTAACGAGTTGTTTTCGCTTGTAGAGAGACTGGACCAAGATACTAGTGGAATTCAGAGTACACTTTGTGATCATTCGTTCGATTGTTCTTGCATTTCGAAATGGACTTATCTGTCTTGCCAGGTCAGTATTTACAAATCAGTCCTTGATGTAGCTTGCAATTTTCGGGAAATGTTGAATATTTGATAAAAAATTTCGACACTAAATACTTGATGCTAGTTTGAATATGGTGATCATGTAAGACGCTCAGTATATGATAGTGACTTATCACTTATGTTTACTAGGACTTTCTTCTGCATAATTGGAAGAAAAATGGGTTTGACTTGTGATGCTAAAAAACTCAGTATAAGTGGAAATAAAGGTGGTTATCCCATTTACATGTGTTGGTGGGTTTGAGTAGGAGTAAGAAGGGTTCAGGTGGTTGGAATGAAAAGGTTTAATTCCCACAAACTTTATTCAATTTATGAATATGTATACCTTCATGCCTATACCCCCCATATGGCTATATCTGGAACCTTGCCACCTGCTTAAGGAGTGGCTTATATGAGAAAATTGATCCTCCACTTACAGTTTTTTAGATCCCGAAGAATGAAAATAACCGTTACTATGTGCTGGCCTACAAGTTGGAAGCTTATGAAGTTTTGTGGTCTTGACTACACAAGCATGATCAATAATGCAGTATAAATACATCTCATTTCTTTGCTATGCATGTCATCAGGTTTGTCGATTATGCCAGCAACCAGATGATAGACCTAACTGTTCTGTTTGTGATACATCAGAGAACCTCTGGGTTTGCATCATATGTGGCTTTGTTGGATGTGGAAGGTAAAATGGTCATCATTCTGCCCGAGTAAGTATCTCAGTGTTTGCATTTCTGGCATTAGTTGTCTTAAGCCTTTCAGTTGTTGCTTTTAGGTATAAAGAAGGACACACTTTCAGGCATTGGAAAGATACACAGCATTGCTATTCACTCAATTTAGAGACACAGAGGGTTTGGGATTACGAAGGTGACAGTTATGTTCATCGATTAAATCATTCCAAAGCTGGTGAAAAATCAGTGGCAGTTGACTCACATTGCATGTCGTATGATGGAGATTGTGGTAATTGCGGCCACGATGAGGATTCTGAAATGACTGGTGTTCTCTACGGCAGCAAAGTTGAAGCAGTATGTCCTTTAATGATTTACTTATAGTAATACCTTTGGTGATGTATCATGTGTGAAGTTAAGCCACTCTTTTGAAACAGAATTATAAAGCACTCAACCATTGAACCAGAATCATGTGTTCCTTACGTTTTAATTTGAACTGGAAAGTAAATTATAAATAGCCGCACCCAGATATATTTAAATAATTATGAACTTCAGTGTTTTGTTTTGTAATTTATTTTCAATGCTAAAGCAAATTATCTTCAAAGATGAACTAATTGCTTATGTTATTAATTTTTGGGCACAGATTACAGATGAGTACAACCATCTTCTTGCAACTCAGCTGGAGAACCATAGACAGGTCCTTATGTTTTCTATACTTTTGCTTTGATAATGATTTTAGTTTTTGTTTAAACTGTTGAAATGGTGTTAGTTGTTTGATGAAGGGCTTGATTGAGGTCTAAGTGGAATGATTTAAGAACTTTTGTTCAGTATATTCTTATCTAATGAGTGGTGAAGATGATCGAATAGCTTCATTTTTCTCTCTCTTCTTTGTCCAGTATTATGAATCTCTTCTTGTTGAGGCCAGAAGTAAAAAGGATAATAGTATTGCCGTGGCTGTTGAGAAGGCTGTAACAACAAAGATGCAAGACCTGCAGTGCAGACTGGAAAAATACGAAGAAGAAAAAAAGGCAGTAATGGATGTGAGTAAACATCTTGAGAAATCTACTTGTTCTTATAAAAAGACTTTTGCACATAGTCTTTGGTTTATCTATTTGATTCTTTACAAAGTATATATTCTTTGCTTAACATCCCTACCTCTTTCTTCTTTTTTCAGAAGAATCATATTTTAATGAGGGGGCAGGAAGAGTACAAGAAAAAGATGAAGGAACTTGAGGAAAGGTTAGGTGTTTTCTTGCCTTTCATGCTCTTTACTTGGAACTTTATCTTTTGGTGTTACAACTTTTGTTTTGTTCTATGTTGAAATAATTTAACCCATTTCTATTTTAGGCCGTCCAAAAATGATGGACCTCCTCCTTATTTTAGAGAAAAGATTACACTTGTAAGAAGGAGATGTGAATAACTAAAATGTATTTGTATTAGATATGATATTAAAATTCGATTCTTTGAAAATGACCAATATGATTTGACCAATTATATAGGGAAGAAAGGAGTGGTTGATTCCCCTTCTTTTTAATATTGGTTGTGAGAAAGTTCTGCGTGTTTTAGCTTAATTTCAAATCTTCATTTCTATTGTTGGTTAGGGAGATGAAGTCCCTAAGATCGAGGGATGAGCAGATCATTGATCTTGAGGAGCAGGTGAATTTTTATAGTTCTTTAGACTCTCTACCCCCCACCCCCCTTCTCTTTCATCTTGAATGCGTAAACTTCCAATTTAAGCCTCCACATTTTATTACTTCATCCATGGATAAAAGGCATGTAACATAATGTTAATTACTTTGGCATAACAGATTCGAGATCTTAAAATCTATGTGGAAGCACAAAGGAAAATTGGCAGCATAACAGATTCAGATGGCTTAAAAGGAGGAACATTGCTGCCTGTGCCTGAAATGCAATCCACTCCTGCCAATATAAAGAGGCGTACAAAGTCAGGCCGACATCGTAATTAAACTTTCATGTTAGGACTTGCTTTTTGTATAGAGATAAGATTTTCTAAAGTGACTTGTCATTGTGAATATGAAACAATGTAGAATTTTGAAGTTCAATCAATGATCACTTTGTATGTCTTCAGAATATTGCTTGAGAAGTTTTTAAGTGTTGGGGCTTTAGAGATATCGGCTTACTCCAGTATAAGCTTGTGTATGTTTGTATTGCACATTTGGAGATAAGGTGGAGTGCAAGAGACTACATGCCTCTTGAAATAATTGTGCTTCTGTGAGTTATGTCAGGATCGAATGCTTTATTGATCAGACATTGATGAACATATGTGTTTTTACAGGGTTGTCATAAACTTCAAAAGTAATGTCTCCTTTGGATTCTCTTGGTATGAGTTCAGTACGGGGGGTGTAATCGGAAAATCCATTTCATGACAAGTGTTAAGGCGCAATGTGCAGGTGAGGTAAATCACTTCCTAAGACATTTCTGGGCTGCATAAAAAGGTAGGTGCACCCAAGGGTGATTTTTTACTCATTTGATATTTTGTTGATTATTTTAAGATTTTAAAATGAGCAATAGTATTAAGTGAGCAGGAATCACCCTTGGATGATATATAAAATTTTTTACCATCCCTGACCTAAAAATACTTGTATTTCAAAGTTAGTGCACCAAGGTTAGCCAAAAAAGATTGAAAATAAGAAACAAACTGGTGGACTGGTGGTTATAATGTTACTGCCGGTTGGCTTACAATTCTAATCTAAACAAAGAAATTAAAGCATTATTCAGAGGAGACTACGATTGATGCAGATAAAAGTTGTTGGCAAATGTTGATGCTTTGATCGTTCACCAGGTAAAACGGGGAGTTGCAATGGCACGAAGAGGAGTCTCCCTGTGAATTGTAAGTCCAGGGTGTTCCTCCATGTCCAAATTCATTCCTTGAGCTCCTTCAGGCAACGCCCAATCGAACTTCTGCATGAAGTTTGCTAAAACAAGCTCTAAGTTCGCGGTGCCAAAATGTATCCCCGGGCACCCCCTCCTTCCTGATCCAAATGGAATCAAGTTGAAGTGCTGCCCCTTAAAGTCTATGGAAGAATTCAGAAACCTCTCGGGATTGAATCGTTCAGGTTCTTTCCAAAAACTCGGGTCTCTATGGATTGTCCATGCATTGATGATGACTTGTGTTTTAGCAGGTATGTCATAGCCATGGAGCTGTGTTTCTTGAGATGAAATACGAGGCAATAACAAGGGAACTGGAGGATGTAGCCTAAATGTCTCCTTGATTACTGCTTTCAGGTACTCCATTTTCTCAAGATCATTCTCTGTTATGTTTGCTTTATCTCTGGTAATTTCCCTCACTTCTTTCTGTAGAGATTCCATAATTGTTGGATTTCTTAGAAGTTCAGACATGACCCATTCTAGTGTTGCATAAGTTGTTGTAGACCCAGCTACAAACATGTCCTGCATCAAACATTGGATTAGTGATCGAATCTAGGATTTAGAATGATGGGTCCTAGTAGGTTGGAACCCCTCACGAGTTAGTTCATCCCATGTTAGCGGGCTTGACACTTGGGGAGGGAGAGGGTAAGGGGATCCCTTCCTCAAAGTGTCGTTAAAGGAGATTCAATCCCCAAGATATTGAAAGGTGCTTTACTTAATACGAAGTACTCCGTATATAATTTTGGCAAAAGTTTGGAAACTTAGATTGGAGATACATATTCAAAACTTTATTGAGTGAGATTTTATTAGATTCATCTTGATATATATTTTCAAACTATCAAATTTCTTATATTTTTTTGGTGAAAAAACTCTCATATAAAATTGAATATTAATGGTCAAAGATGTCATTGGTGTCCATGAAAATAGTACCAACAATGAATTTAAGTAACGTCACGTTACGAATAATTTGTTTGGTACTCCCTCTCCTTTTTAATAAATGCAACAGTTTTATTTTTGTATTCAAACTTAATGAACTTTGACTGCAATATTATTAATAAATATATACATCACAAAGTAAATATTACCATCATGTGATATCCTGTTATATACTTGTATGTTTTATTCTCACAAATTAAAAAGAAAAAAATTAGATATGTATAGCTCAAAATGCCTCAAAATATTAATTTTCTTATAAATATAAAAAGGTTTTATTGCTCAAACATTGTAGTATGTATTATTGGAGTTCTTGGGAATAAAGTTTTTCGTTAAAAAAAATAAAAATAAAAAAAATAAATAAAAAAATAAAAAAATAAAAAAATTGAATTTCAAATCTAAGGGTGTGTTTGGCATCATTGCCGTTTTTGGTTTTCTTGTTTTTTTCTCCCAAAATAAAACAAAACAGTGTTTGGTAAATAGCTTTAAAAAACAATTTTACAGTTATTTTGGAGAAACTAAAATGATAAACCTAAAACATCTCAAAGCAATTTTTGAGGTTTTGTTTTTTAAAATTAAACACTATAAAAACCCACACTCATATCTCATTCAATATTTCATCTTTCTTCCTCAAACCCTAATTATTCTCTAGATTCAAGGAGCAAGCAATTATGGAGTCTTCTCTCTCTTTTATCTTAATTTCCTTTATAATTACCATACGTATCTCCCCATTGTTCTTACTATATGTTTTTGTTGGTGAAATTGGTTGAATTGAATTTCTTTGATCAAAGTTGTTTATCTTTGTTCTTAATTTTTTCTGAATTTTTAATTGTTCTTTGTATAATTTTTATACAGTTTATTTTGGGTTCTTGTATTTGGGTGCCTGAAAGTTCAGCACTATCGCCATTGTATAAATCGCCTAAGTGGTGATGAGATTTGGTTCCTGAGAAGGTATGAATTTTTAATCTTATACCGCGGGCAATTTTTATAGTTGGTACTATCGCCATTGTAAATTTTCGATACAGGCAATTTTTTAAATCTTCTTACTATCACCATTGTTAATGGTGACTGAGTTTTATTGAGGAGAGGGATTGAAGAGAGGGTATAGAAAATGGTGATTCTGCCTTTTGCAGAGAGTGTAAAAGCAGAGGTTATTGTTATGAATTTGGAATTTTTTTATTTTACTCTGTAGTTATTTTTTCATGGATTCTTTTCTCTAGGTTAACAGTGTTTCTTCTACAATTCTAGACCAATAATAATAATGTAGTTGATTGAAGTAATACCTATAAATAATAGAAGTAGGTAGTATAAGAGTTAATTGCAAACTCAAAACTGGTGGAATAGAAACAGTTTTTAAAAACAAAGAATCAAAAACTGAAATCAGTTTTAGTTTTTAAAAAACCAAAAACTGAAAATAGAAAATAATGCCAAACGAACCCTAACTTTTTGTTTTTTGTTTTTTGTTTTGTTTTTTTATTTTTTATTTTTTATATATATATATATATATATATATATATATAAAATAAAAGTATGTGATTATTTATTTAATAACAAAAGGGTATATAAGAAATTTTCTCATCTTAATTTTAAGGGCTGACTTTCCAATTAATCTGTTCTTCCTGGAATTAGATATGTGCATTAATTGGTAGTACTTGAACATGCAATGGTGAAATTAACTTACATAGTCATAGTCATAGTCATGATAAATTATGCTTAAAATTTATGTATCTAACATTAAAAAGCCAAATTTAAAAGGTTTAGTTAAGGAGATTAATAACATAGATAAGGTGTATGGAATAATTGAACATACCATCTTTCAAAAAAAAAAAAATGAACATACCAATATAATGCCTTTGATGCTATCTTTGTCTAGACTCATTTCGGCTGAATGATCTTGTTGCAACTCAAGTAAAACATCCACAAAATCTTGTTTGTTTTCAGATTTTTCCCCTTCATTTATGCCCTTTAATTTATGCTCTTGGACTAAACTTTCAAGAAAGCTATCCATATTTCTTGAAACTGTCCTAACATCCTTCTCCACACCATTCACATGATTAATCCACCCTAGCCAAGGGATAAAATCACCTATATTAATGCTGCCTACGAGTTCTTCGTGCTTTTCGTGCAACTCCTTAAAATCGATCCCGTCTCTTTGTCCATCGAACTTCATCCCAAAGGCTGCCCTGCATATAACATCAGTCGAAAAATTGGAAAGCATCTTACTTAAGTTTACTGCTTTTGACGGTGATGACCTGATCTCTTCGACGATTTGTGCTATTTCTTCTTGTCTGACATTATGGAATGCCTGGACTCGGTTATAGCTTAGAAGTTGGTTGACACATATGCTTCTCATTCGTCTCCAATAGTCACCGTAAGGTGCTGTTGCGACATCTCTACAGTTGTAAAGAAGCCTTTTGAACATGCTTAGAATTGGCCTGTTTGCGAATATGGTGTCATGTGATTTCATGACTTTGCTTGCTGCCTCTGCGGATGAGACCACAAGGACCGGGTTTCGGCCAAAGTAGAGTAACATGAGAGCCCCATGTTTTTTGGCTAAACTATGCAATGATCGATGTGGTAGTTTCTTGTCAATTTGATGCAAGTTTCCTATGATTGGAAGTTTTGATGGAGAAGGCGGTAGGTGATTTCGGGTTTTGTGGTTAAAGAGGAGTTTGTAAAGGGAGAGGAAAAAGAAGAAGAAGAATGGTAAGGCTGTGAAAGGGTGCATAAAGAACAAGGTTATTTGACTCTCCAGCAATTGCTTGATATTAGACATTTTCTCTATGTTTTTGCTTCACTTGTGAATTGTGATAGAGCTATTTTTCTCTAATTTTCTAGAATGTGGGAAAGCTAACTTGTGTACTATTATATGTATAAGTACAAACCTTAGAGGGTGGCCATAGGATTGGTTTGTTTTTTTTTTCCCTTCACAACTCTAATTTTTTCTCTTTTTCTTTTTAAATTTTTTTTTTTATTTGTTTTTAAATTTTATATAAAATCCCAAGAGATATCTTTCACATTGCTTTAGTATTTTGTGATTTCTTTCCATTTATGTTGATCTCAAATGATTCATATCAAATGTTTCTACTATTTAGTGATTTTTTTTTTCTTATTTCCTTTCAAATTTGTCATTTAATCTATAAATATTAACTTTGTTTTTATAATGTTCTAACTATTCATTATAGCCTGTTTCATAATGTTCTCAACGCTTTTACTTTATCTCATTTTTATCCACCTTCTTTTACTATACTGCTATTACGTACTCTACAATATTTATACTTTTTGACTTGATATATCTTACTCTTTTATTATGTTTTTCGCACATTTACTCACCTTCTTGCACTCTTTCTTGTTTGTCTTAATTCTTGTGCTTTATCCGTTATTGTTACCTTTCCCGAGTTTTTAGGGGAAAGTAAATGGAATAATTGATGTGTTATCCCATGTGGTTTTGTATTATTAGTTATCTCTTTTGCATTTTCCATGTTTGGCGGGCCAATCACCCTGGCGGCCTGGTAGGACTAAAAGGGGCCCAAAACAAAGTCATGTATTAATTTACTTCTCTAGAGTTCAACCCACGCAATTAACATACAACTGATAATTACTAATTAATGTTTTTAAAGTCTAAATCCAGAAAGTAGAATAGTTAAATGCCTGATGAACTAATGTTTCGTTCTAAAGCCAACTATTTTGCCTAGTTTATATATTCATGTTTTCTTAGTTAGTTCTCATGCAATTAAAGAACAGAGCAATTCTACTTCTCTTGGTCATGTATGGAGTAAATATCTGTTTTCTTTTTCTAGGTGTTAATTAGTCCAATGGCCAATACCTTACTCTTAAATATGGTGAATAATGTTATCTAGTATGGATTTGTAGGGACAATTCAAAACTCGACTTTATCTACTCTTAAGTATGAGTAGCACATTAGATGCAGTAATTCCATGTACTTTGTTATTATGTCGGAATCTCTTTTGCTGATATGCCTGTATATTACGGAGTGTTTGTTTTAGGCAAAAGATAGGAAAATGTTGTCTCCCTAGTAGCTTTGATTGGATTAATTCCTTATCAATCATTTATAATCATATGTTATCTTCTGCTACAATGGGACATCCGATATGCATGACAGAGAGCACAGGCTTAATTTTTTTCGTTTCTAAACTTTATACAAGTAGTGTGTTCAGGAAAGTTGTGGTTTAGCAACTACAATCAGATCAGATGTCTTATGCATGGATATACCGAAAGCTTCTGAAAGATCCAAATCTTTGGCTTCTACTCCTGGAGGAAGGTCCCAGTCAAAGCTGTGGAGAAGTTGAGCAAGAGCAAGCTCTATAGTCACAGTTCCGAAAATGATGCCTGGACATCCTCTTCTTCCTGCACCAAAGGGTAACAGCTCGAAATCCTGCCCTTGAAATCAATTTCACTGTTTAGGAATCTGTCAGGATTGAATGTTTCTGGATCTTTCCAGGATTCAGGGTCCCTTCCTATAGCCCAGACATTGATGAAAACCCATGTTTTTGCAGGGATATCGTAGCCTTCAATGGTAACATCTTTGATGGACTCTCTTGGTACAAGTACAGGTACAGGGGGATGCAGGCGGAAGATCTCTTTTATAACAGCTTTAAGGTAGTGCAGTTGAGGTAAATCACTTTCTAAGACAGTTTTTCTTTCTTTCAAAACGCTTCGTACTTCTGTTTGTGCTTTCTTCATCACTTCCGAGTTCATAATCATTTCTGTCATTCCCCAATCTAGTATTATGAAGCTTGTATCAGTACCTGCTGCAAACATGTCCTGCACACGATAATTATATTTTTAGTATATAGCCTTTACTTGAAAGTAAAACTCTCTATTTGCTGATTTTATTAGCAAGAATTATGAATTGAACATCTTACCAGTAGAATAGCCTTGATGTTGTCCATAGTTAAAGGCATTTCACTAGAACCGTCTTTTTTTATGTCGAGTAAAACATCTCGAAGATCCTTCGCTCCCTCAGTTTTCCTCTGCGGACTCAGATGTTCTTGAATCACCTTGTTGAAAAAGCTATCAAACCGTTTAAACGTTTTCTTTAGCCTTGATTTATGGCCTGTTAGTGTGTGCACAAATTCTTTAGAAGGGAAAAAATCTCCTATGCTAAGACCCCCAAGCAACTCTTGGTAATCATCAAGCATACTTTGGAAACCATGTAAGTCATACTCGCCTCCCTCAGAGAAGTTCCGTCCCAAAACAACTCTACAGAGGACATCATTCGCATACAAGCCAAGTACCTTTGTAAGACTGATTTCCTGATTACAAGAATCTGCAATTCTATTAACGAAGCGACACACTTCTTCCTTTCTTACAAAGTCATAAGACTGAACCATTTTGGTGCTTAAAAGCTCTAGTATGCAGATCTTTCTTACATGCCTCCAGTAAGCGCCGTAAGGAGAGAAAACACTGTTAGTGCAGTTATAAAAGAGCCATTTGGCAGAATACAGCTGAGGCCGGCTGCAAAATGCTAGATCATGTGTCTTCATCACTTCCTTGGCCATAGCAGCAGATGAAACTACGACTGTTGGAACCTCGCCAAGCTGTAGGAAGAATACAGGTCCTAAATCCTGTGCAAGTTTTCTGAGTGTGAGAGGGGGCATTTAGCCAAGCTGATGAAGGTTCCCAATTATAGGCAGTTTTGTAGGACATGGTGGGAGATTGAATATTTTTTCTTGTTTGGTAACTTTTAAGTAGATATTTAAGTGGCATAAGTAAGAAAACAAAAGCACAGACCAAGCTAAAAGGTTGCCTTCCATCTTGTGATTATTTCGTCGGTTGGCTGGTGAATTCTTCAATCCTGAAACTAATTTGCACAAAAATATAATTCCAGAATGACAACATATAGCCCGGAAAATTCTTGCATACAGCAAAAACATGTAATGGCAACACGCGATAGGTTAGCTATTTTGTATGATCAGTGATTCTTGTAAAAGTAGTAAAATCCTTTAGCCCTTATCCACGAAAATATCTTTGTAGTATATGGCCATTTACTTCGTTTAAGGACAATTTTGTTATCTACTACGGAGATATCAAACATGTTAGTTGTTTAAAGTGTTTGTTCAAAATAATCGCCTCAGCTACATATGCTTGGATAATCCTGTTAAAGGGTGTGACATATGCTTATCTTTATGCAAGAAGGTTTTAGTGGCTCACATCGTTTTGTTGATTTCTTCAAAGTCCATGAAGATTGGACAGACTATATATCAAACGTTGTTGTTACTCTCATTCAGTGTGGGGTTGTCTGAAGTCGGCCTTTGCAAATGTCTTAACATGCTTACTTCTTGTCAACATCAAAACTTGTATCTTATCTATGTCAGATTAATGACTATCTTCTATACGGAATCAAAGATGTAACAACGTAACAATTAATGGTGAAGCAAAATTTTAGATTAATCATGTAAAATTATCCCTTGAAGCCTTGAAGGCATCATACAAGAAATTAATGCTGGCTAATGTCGTGTTTTGTGTTCCACTGTTTTGGCTAATGTCGTGTTTTGTACTCAGGTTTTTTTTTTTTTTTTTTTTTTTTTTTTTTTTTTTTTTGTAACAAATCATTAAAAATTAACATTTTAAGTGTATTACGGAGTATATATACATATAACATCCATATAATCGAGGTAGTGCATACTTCGTACTTCCTCGGGTTCCTCCATTTTTTATTACTTGTAACACTTTTCTAAAATAAAAATGTCACGATACTTGTAACACACTATAATTAGAAAAAAAGGGGGAAAAGTTGTACTATTTCCCATATTTAAAGCAGGCCCACTAAATTATACTCCTAAGAACCTCTTACCTCAATTTAAAGTGTATTATATCATGTGAACTCTACTTTTGTTAAATATCGTGAAAAAGTGTGTAGTAACTATTAAAAAACGGAAAAAATATAATTTAATACTTTCGTATGAGTAAAATCTGAATCTAACGTTACATAAACCATGAAGGCATAGAAAGATGTACTAATCATTATAAAATACATGCCAAATGTCAAATTGTAAATCACGATGAATCACAGGTAATTTTGTTGCATTCTACTCTATTGTTTTTTTCTTGGCATTTTGATTTCTGGGTGTATTGATTTTATGCAATTTCTATTGATTTTATGACTTTTTGTTGTATTTTGTTAATTTCAGTTTATTTTGATTACTAGGTAAGCTTTTGCATGCTATTGATCGTGATTCAATTTTGTTGTATTATGTTGATTTTGGTGCATTTTGTTGTATTCTTGGGATGTTAATGTCTTATTAGAACTTGGGTTTCTCCGTCTTTTAAGGTCTTATTGGTTAGACTAATTTAGACTTTTGAATGTGATTTTTGACGACACTTTGTATAATTTCTGTTTTCCCAAGGTATCGTTTGGCTTTCGAATAAGAATTTTGATTACAAATTGGCGAACACCCAATATGTTATCGTTCCTGGCCATTTGAATACTCTTGGAGTCATTCCGTTCCTTTTTGCTTTTGTGGCATTTGAAATCTTCACTTTAACGAGACGAATTTAAACCATGGATAATCTTGATGATTGCATATGAGATCTTGTTAGGTTGATTTGTCTCATACTCCTTCGAGTCCTTTTGTTCAACTATGTACATTGAAAAATGTGCAAAAACACAAATGAGACATACAAAAAGAAACACAGGGAGTAATTAGGAACCCTAAACTTTCGCACTTATTTATCATTACAAATTGGAGTACTTAATATTGGAAAACTTGTTCTACTAGGAACCTTTTTGACATAACTTTAATCAATCTCAATTGGTTAGGGATAAGATTGTACATTTTGACCTCCCCACACTGATGGATTTATAAATTTATACTCCCTTCGTGTTTAAATAAATAAAACATTTTGACTTTTATGAAGTTTTATAAAGATTAGTTGAATTATTAAAATATTAGGTAGTGGGGTATAAGTTTGAGGAGAGAGAAGAAAGTAAGGGGTTTTGTAGGGATCAAACCATAAGTTAGTACAATAGAATATTATTAATAAAAAAGAGAGAATATTTTTTTAAAAAATAGAGAAAAGTTACTAAAAAAAGGAAAAGTTTCATTTATATAAATACGACCGTACAAAAAAAAAAGGTTTCATTTATTTAAATACGGCCGTAAAAGGAAAACGTTTAACTTATTTATTCACGAAAAGAGTATCCATTTTGATGATGGAATTTTCAGTCATCATTGTTAAAAGTTTGCATAGTGTACTAAGGTGGTGTCCTGTGTTTGAAGATTGTCCCTAAGCTTAGATTCTCCGTACTAGGGAACACATGTCCTACCATTGGATATACCCTCAACAGCCCAGTTATTGTTCCTTTTTGGTCATATGTGGAAGACATCACTTGGGCTAAAAAGGAGAACAAAAGTCCATACATAAAAATAATACACTTTCAAATCAGCCCATATCTATTACTTCAATCCGTCCTTTAATACAAAGCCTAATTTCCTTTTTGGGTAAACCAAAATATAATGCATCTTTCTATTTAAAGGTTGTATTTTTTGACATTATTATCCTCTTTTTGATGAGTTGTCATCTTTTTACCTTTACTTTTTTGTTTACATCAATTTTCAACACTTTCTCTCTCTATCTTTTCAATTATCCCAGCTACTTTTTTCTTTCTCTATATCTCTTTTTAACCCCACATGCACATATGTACTTTTAGTCCTTAGTTTTAAAGAATTTACAACTTTCTTAATTCCCGCGCAAAAACCAAAAGAGCTTTGTATTAAGGGAGGGAGGGAGTAACTATTACTAAAACAAAACATTGCTGATATCATCAACCCTCAAATTATACTACGTGTGATGTCATCATTTTCTTAAATTTTTTTTTTAACCTACACTATACATTTTTCTAACAAAAAAAATTACCACTCTTTTTTACACAAATGATAAAACTTTAATTTATGCATAATAATAAAAATTAATTAAATCGTGCGATGCACGAGTCTAATCTAGTAATTATGGCTTATCTGCTCAACTTTTGCACAAGGCAATGGCCTCAACTATTAGGGATAATCGGTCTAAACGACTCCTTCCTACTCGCGTTCACTTATCCTAACTT